AGTCTGAAAAACACTTTATGATTTGGCTCTTCTCTTAACTCTCCTGATCGACTCATCTACAACCGGCATGTGGGATGGATCCATGCTGTTCTAAACCAAAACACTGCATTTACTGTGAGACTGTAGCACACTGCAGACAGACACCCAGCGAGAGCATGGCATATAGTGTATTAATTGCATAAAGCTAAAAATATACCATGTTCCTTTCTAGAGATACACGCTGTTGCTTTCTTTTTACCTCAGTATAACAGAGCTGAGTCCCTGCAAGCATACTGTATCACCACACACACACAAACTGACAAACATATGTATGTGCAAACACTCGCACACACAAGGGGACCTCTGATAAGGACTCAGGTCACTCTGACGTTCGAGGTTCTGGGTCAGTGATAAGGCCATGCTTGTTCTTAACTGCTTTTCTTCCACTCGAAACACTTGCAAAACAAGGTACTGAACTGACCCCAGAAACCTGCTGGATGGTTAGACATCCTAACAACATGCTCGTACAACAAACACCTGCTTGTACTAAAGGAATGAGAGAGTTTTTGTCTATGATACACAATCAAATTACACTTACCTAATGGAATGTAACAAAACTGCAATGGCAACACTTCAGAAATGTGTTTTTTAGGTTTCTAAAGGTGTGTTTTTTGAAGTCTGGATTTCAGTGTGCAGCTTCCTGTCATCTTTGTCAGTAGAGGTGTGATCACATTACACCTCTGTCCTGCAATTATAGTTAAACTGAGGCCAGCACAATGCAGAAATTCAAGGATGTGCTTCCTTATTTGGTGCAATTTCCTGGTTGGCACCAGTGCACTTGATCTTCGATGATTACAGCTGGACATGTAGAAGTCATTATTCTAGCATACCAGCTCTATGTTTTGTGCAATTTTGCAATATCAGACTACAAAGTGCAGCATCGCTCTCACACTGTTCACAGTTTGTGTTCACTTTGTTCAATGTTTATTTCAACTGTAGGAACCGCAGACATCCTATCCCTTTTTAGGGGCAGAGAGCATGAAGCAGTTTCCTTGAAAGCTAGGCTAATGAGAAAGAAAATTCAAATCTGGACCAAAAAGTTTGGCGTCTGGTGGAGCTGAGCTGCAGCAAGCAAACAACAAACAGTGCCGAGTTGGACAGAGTGAAAAACTTGTCGGCCGTGAAACACACTTGTTTCATCCTTAACATCTTCATAAAACAACATTGTGTCCATAATATCACCAACATACACACCCGAAGAAGTGAAATTGACTACTGACACCTTTAGTTATGAAAAACGTATTGATTCTGCAGCCAAGGCGAGACAGCTGCCAGGAAGCAGACAGCAGCAGAACGCTGTTCAAGACCAACAAACAACATAGGCTGGTACTTTCAACAACTTCATGGGACATGACAGTTGTGTTTGTTGCAGTCAAACCAGGTGTTTTAAGCCACACATGATGTTTTTCAAACCCAAACAGAAGATTGAAAATTGAAATGTAAAGTTTCAGCATTTCCACTACATATGAAACGTACAAATGAAACATATCCGTGGTTTGCAGAGATGTAAAATGCCAACATTTATTCTGGAAACTGGGTTGGATTTTGTATTTTTAAGGTGCGGTATGCAAGTCTGGAGAAATATGAGCCCGTTTTACACATAGATCACGCAATAGGGCCGCTACAAAGTCCTTCCTATAGGTCGCCTTTGGGGTTTTATACAGAAACAAAAATGAGGAAATGTGGTGTGAGTTTATTTAGCAAGATGGCATCCCAAACAAAAGAAGTGTGACAGTTGTGACATGTAACACGACAGCATCGGCCTCTGGTGTGATAAAAAACATATGCATTGGCAGCACTTTATGAATAATAATAATAGCATAACAATCGTTTACCGTCTCTGTTATATTGCGGTTGATCTCGTCCTCTGCTCAGAGGGTAAGGAGCTTCCTGACCTCACTGTTTTCCTAATTTGCAGATATTTTCAGCTGCAGTTCTTCTTCTTTGAGTTAGCTGCTAACTGCTTCTAGCTGTCGTTTTGGGTGGGTTGCAAGCATAACATGTTGTCAAAACGTCACAACCGTCCTACCCATGGTCCCATCCTGCCGGCTATCCCTTATACACAAGTGTTGATTTGGCGGTGTTACTTCCTCTACTGCCAGGTTAAACGTGAGACAACTTTATCTCCGCATTCTACGTCATACCTCTTATAAAGAACAGTGAGGCAAAATAATGATGCAGAATTCACACCTTGAACAAGCTGTGTTAAAGGGGCTACAGTTGATTGTTTAGTGTCATTCCCTGGTTGTCAAATAGCAACAACCGTGGGTTGGTAGTCGGACCAAACTACCAACCCAAAGCTTTGGTGTTTGACAACCTGGGAATGAGACCGCATTGGTATTTACAACCTGTTCTCATTACAAAGTCATGTTGTAGTTATATTGTTGTTGTGGTGGTGTCTTACTGTTGTATTTTGTTGTTGTCATTGTTACTGTTGCGATGACTTGATGTTGTGTTGTCTTGCTATTGTTATTGCTGAAGACGTTGTGTCATGAATATGTTATTTTTTTGTTATTGTGTTTTTTATATAATAGTGACTTTAAGCAGAGAAATTATTCTCTGTTTCCTGCCTAGGGACTACAGATGAAACTTAGTATATAGCTAACTCCTGTGCAGCTAAGTATCTGTGCACTGTCCCTGTTAAATAAATTAAATAAATAAATAAAAATAAATCAAATAGCGCTGCTTGGACAGTGATTTCCACTTCAGGCACTGACAAATTGCATCCTTTTGTGGTGGTATGATACGCCATCAGGCATTTGTAGTGCCACCAGACAGCAATGTAATGTAAAGAGCTGGAAAGTGTCTATAGGCCAGGTGGGAGGTGAGGTGGATAAACAACACTGGACTTTCACCCAGGAGCCCCGTGTTTGCTTCCTGTATGCATGTTGAGCCAAACCATGATGTTTTGTACAAAATCTAACCACGTGCATTTGTTGCACAAGGAAATAAATATAAATAGGAGGTGTAAGTTTATTTTGAAAAAGATTAAATTCATCCTCCAACAGAAACTGTACATTTCCTGTAAAAACTGAAGGGTATTTTGCAAAGACACAATGCATGCAACAGGTGTAAAGTGACATGCCAACCTGCAACATCAACAACAGACACACCCAGAAAACCTTTTGCATCAAATGTAGATGTCAAAAATCCACTGACAAAGCTGTGACATGTGAGGAGTTGGGAGAGAGAACATGTTGGCATTTCACATCCTGGTAATGAGACTCAACAATCAGCCGTATTGCTCCAGAGCTGCACACTGCACCATTAAGTAACACTTTGTGGTGCTCCCTGTCGTTTATGCAGTCTGAGCATTCTTTGAATCAGCATGCAGTGGCCATTACAGGAAGGTGAATGCAGCTTATCTTGCTGGTTAACACCTCATGTACAGTCTAATAATATAATTAGGGCTTGGCAATGTGGAGAAAATCAAATATAATAATATTTTTGACAAATACCTTGATATCATTATTGTAGGGTTTATCATTGGTGCTTTCACAACATATTTACACATTGAAATTTTTGATAAAGAATTATCAGTAATGCAGATTTAATGACTTAGTGAGCAAAGGTGAATAATAGAAGAGCTAGAACAGTCTGGTAAGTTCAGAAAATGACATAATTTTACTGTAATAGAGCCTTTTAAACCAGGAAAAGACAGCACTTGTGATATTAGGATATCCAAAATCTAAGATGATATCATATTAAGATATTGATTATTGAACTACTACTACTACTACTGCCAGAGACATATGCTTAAACAAAGAGCTTCCTGTAAACATAACAGCCACTAGCGTCCCCATTACTGTGCAGTTATCCTTGGTAATGTTCTAATGTGTTTGAGTTGCACCGTGTTGGCTCGTGCTCCCTTTGAGTCACTGAGACTCTAACCTGCTCCGACAGGCTGCGTTCCCCTGCGTCCCCTCCGACACTGAAGGGTCACAGGGTGGCAGCGCCAGACGGGGCCCGCTACCTCCTCCACAGCGCACACGCACACACACTGCCAAGTTTAGCTGCCTGCTATCAGTGCCAGCAAGTGTGGACAGACAGCACACATGGGGGGGGGGGGGGGCTGGCAGATCATATCCCACATTCCTAAAGCTGTGTCTGAACACTCCAGTCTGGATCTACTGGACTGTCAGTTTCCTGGATGTGTGTTCATCCCAAGAAAAAATAAAAACAGTGAAATGTATCCTTTGGCATTACATCAGTGGTGTATAGTGGTGTTTATCATGAGTTACATTCCATTATTCAACAAAAAGACAGATTTCCAGGCAACCTGACAAAACTGTCACATCAATTTTGGGTGGTGAACCGTAATGTGACATATTCATGATTTCAGAGCTTTAGCAGATAAAATCCATCCCACACTGGATTACTCCAAGTTTTATGTTCATTACTAGCTGTATTATTTATATTTCATTTCCAGTAAACCAGGTAGTTTCACACACCTGTCACACCTGTCACACCTGTCAGGAAGGGAAAAATACTAAAGCATCCCCTGTCAGGTTGGATTGGTTTAAAAGTTTTGTTGCTTCAGACTCACTGAATGCAAACCTCTCTGTGTTGTTGCACTCAAACTGTTCTGCAAAATTAAATGCTCAATGGCACTGAGGAAAATAGCCTCCCAAATGAAATATCTGTATAATATCCCTTTAGTACTCCTATGAGGACGCATTTTGTCTGAGTTTCTCTACTCTGTGATGAATTATATGGTGTTTTTTAATCTACTATGGCTAGACTTAAATATCCTTATAATATTCCTAGAGGGACCTTCAGTTGTGCTGTGATATCTGTGCAGCATCTTTCTAAAATTCACAGGATTAACAGTTCTTTGTAGTGGAGGCTTCCAAGGCTCTACATGCGCAATTAACTCCCTGTTTAATTAGGATCTTAGAGCTGCAATTATACCCTTGAATACCCCATGGATCAGGATGATTATGGAAATAAAAAACACTCACACTGTGAAGTGATACACGAAGCATTTCCAGCCAGACGGCCTTTCCAGAAAGTTATACACGCGTCCTTGGATGTAGGCGCGGGTGAGGACTGGACGGACCCCGATGCTGTACACCGACATCCGCACAGACATCCGGGGATGGGATAAGTACGGGTGGAAGTGAACAGTTGGCATGACTGTCGGAGTGTTACCATCCCCTGGCATTTTGTCTCTTTCTGAAAACGTGTCGTTGCCCACAGGTGTCCCTGGATCAGGCGCGCTAAATGTGGTTTCCGACAGCTCCAAATCCGGTGGTCTGTTTCCACGTGCCAGCCCAGAAGACCTCCGGGAGTTCCCCTGGCAGGGGGCGGAATTAGACATTGCAGGTTCCCGTTATTCTTTTTAACTTTTTCACAGTTATGTCTCGGTCACTGACTCACACAGACAAAGTGTTCGCCCATGTGCGGTTACCTTCTGTTGTGCGCCTGATCTCACCAGGGCGCATAAAACTGCAACATAAACTGCGTTATTAATGCTCTAGATCACTAGGACGGTGTTTCTTTAATTTAACTTTACGGCTCTCTGGGTTGTTGAGGTTATGGCGAGTCTCAGTCCTGAATGAATGTCCCCTACCTCTTTCAGAACACTTATCAGCCTGGAGAGCTGTGGGCGCCAGGCGGTGCGCTATGAGTCGCCAGCTGTTCAGACATTTTACTGTTTTGCAAAACTGCTCCAAAGCAATCTGCAGCTGATGAACTCCATCCTCGGATCTGTGTGAAAAATACACCACATTATCTTTCCCCCCAAAATGATGACTTTACACACAAAATGCAAACTGTAGAGAAGAGAACTGTAAATACAAATGACATGTGGTTCACCTTCTATGGGCCTATACATATATATAAATATAGCCTATAAATAATTTGGTGATGTACTGATGTTAGTGAAATGCTGCCGCTCTCACAGGCATGCATGTATGAATATATAGATGCACAAATGAGTAGCAAACGAAGCAATTATACAACTGAAGGTTACCAGTGACTTGAGTTCCAATGTTGTAAAAAGCTCCTGCATTATACTCCAGTATTCATAACCATAAAGTAATAAAGGTTCAGGCCTAACCCGCCTGTAAGAGAAAGGGTGACTCCACCAACAAAAGTCAAAACACAAGATTAAAACCTGCGATCACAGATTGATAAACAGGTGTTTTTAATATGTCTATCAATAGAAAACAACAAAATAATATGGAACTTCAATCATGATCACTTAGAAACACAAACTGTTTTGCATGTCAAGTGAGTCAAGTTCTACAGTCTTTATATGTTTATGGTAAAAATGCTTTAAAGGGGAACACCATCCAAATTAAGAATTCCAATATGTTATTTCCATGGCTGAGGAAAGTCCAGTCAATTTTTGTGAATTTGAGCATCTCTCTCTCAAAGCCAAAAACCAAACAAATAAATCTCAGACTTGTGATGTCATAGGGTGTAAGGTCTGGAGCTCCATAGACAATGAATGGGAGCCTGATTTTATGGACCCAAGGGATGTTTGTTTGTCTTATTCTAGTGTAATGTTCTCAGTTCTGAAGCAGAAAATGCAGCCATATAGGCCGAATCACTGTGACATCGCGCTAACGACAACGATCACTTCTGGGTAGAAAACTGGCAGTTGATTATGGAGATGTGTAAAATCAGCAAACTTGTTGATTTCTGTTGTCATTTTCAGCCATGACTGTAACATTTACAGATACTTAGTTAAAAACTGCGGTCCGACTTATCTGACGTTTCTGCTGTGCTTATTCAAGTTGCAACACATTCTCACTCCGACCTCATCACGTCAAGATACGACATGAAAGGTACCCTGGGTGCATTTGTTGTTGACGTTCTGGGACGCCGTGCCAAGTTCTGCCTCTTACATACAGTCTCTTTCAAAATAAACGCACTATATACGTCGGTAAAACACCGTGAACTGGGTTTGGCTTCAGAATCTTAAGAGACGTGAACACTGTGTTTGTCTGTGTTTGTTGGACCCATCCGCCACCAATCCCACCCACCCTACTCAGACTTTGGTCGCCTTAACTCTCATTCGTGTCGCCAAGCACCATTAAACTATGACAATGATCGTGATCGGCCGTGTATCATGCCAACGTTAAAGGACGGCATTTTCCTTTCTTCTGACGCCACAAGTCACTGCCCAAGCGCTGGATCTTGATGACTTTGGAATGAGACTGCGTTTGCTTATTTTATGTATTTTGTTGCTCTGCTATCATCTTTGATAAACCAATTCTACTGGCAGAGGAGCTAAACAATGAACCGCTGTGGACGGGACAGAAGCAGAATGTACTTGAGCCTCCTAAAACAAAATTAATGTTGGTGTAAGTGTACCCAATATTTGAATATTTACTCCATTTTACCTTACACACTAAACAATCCATGCCGCGGTAGATCAGCAGCTCAGTGTTCTGCAAAGTAAAATGAGTCTGGTGACTTTGAGATAAAGTCTTCAATTCCCTGTTGAAAAAGGCTGTCTGACTACAAGCAGTGAAAATACTCTAAATATACTGTAGCGTACACTTAAACTGAAGTTTGTCTGTATTTTGGTGGGTCTTTTTAGGTGGCTAAAGGCTAACTAACTGTGACAGCGTTTGCTCAGCGCCATCAGATTTATGTACATGATGTGAGGATTTTCTACCCTGAAGTTGTTGTAAATAAACACTGTGATTTGGTCTATACTCAGAACATTCACCTGGCTGCTCTCAGTGTCTTCTATAACATCTTTCACCATTAATTGTCTATGGAGCAGCTCCAGCCTTTATACCCTATGACATCACAAATTTGAGTTTTAGCACCCTGCCTTTTGGATTTGGGAAAGAGTTATTCATTTTTACAGATTTTTTTGGACTCCATAGGAATAATGTCTGAATTTTGAAAGGTGGTGTAGTTCCCATTAAAGGAATACTACACCCCAAAGTGACCATTTGTGTGTCAGTTACTTCAGATGTGCTACCTTGAATTTGTGAGGCAAACTTAGTTAACTTTTCTCACATGCCTCCATTGTGAACAGAGAACCAAAAACTACATTTAACAACAGCAAAACTGTATCAAAACATCTGTTTGCAAACTTTCACACAACTTGTGCAGTATAATTCAAGTCTCATTTACTCAGTCATATGCTCAATACGTCCAAAGCACATGTGCTTTTGCTAAAACATTACTATTTAAAACACTTCCGCCTTCAAGTAGCCGGCAAAGTAGAACACACGTGGGTAGAAGGTTCGTACTGACATGTTGGATTTAGCAAAACAGTTTTAGCAAAACTGCATGTTTGTGAAGTACTGAGCATACAAATGAGTAAATGAGACTTAATTTATACTGCACAAGTTGTGTGAAAGTTTTTAAACAGATGTTGATATAGTTTTACTGAAAACACATTCCCCATTTACTTCACTTAAATTTTCTGTTCATTATGGAGGCGTGCCAGGAAAAAAAGTTTTCTTCACAAATTCAAGGTAACCACCGAATAATTGATAAACAGATGGTCATTTTCAGGTGAAGTATTCCTTGAAAGGGGCTTTATGTGAAATTCAGAGCGTATGAGTTGTCTTGATACAGTTCTCAACATGGAAGTGGCTGAGCCGGCGGCTAGTAGCAAACGGTGCTAAGTCTATAAACAGCGCTAAACAACAGTAACAGTGCTGACAGAGCTAACAATGTTAACGAGGGCTGAACTGGAGGGTGGGCACTATGTTAATGCAACTGTGTGATTGTGTGACACCAAAGGCAAAAGCAAAAGATATGCTGCCGGTTGGCCAGACAGCACCTGTCATGGCAGTATGATACGTGGACAGGCGGCGTCAGTTCATAACATGTTTGGATTTCACCTGTGGTTTGGTATGATATGCCACTGGACAGTGTTAGTTTGAAATGCTGCTGATAACAAAATAAGTTAAGGAGCTGGAAAGGGCCCTATAGGGCAGGTAGGAGGGGGATGGATGGGTCTAACAAACCCTGGACTTTCACACCACATTCTCATTCTCACTCCGACTTCACATATCTAGGTTTGGTCATGGACTTTCCACATCCAGGTACGATGTGAATTGTACTCTGAGTGTGTTGGTTGTTGACGTTCTGGGACACCAACAACTATAACAGCGTTAAACCGAGCGTCGTTAAACTATAACAGCAACCGGATGGCTTTTTTTATCAGTGTCTGACACTGCAAGTCATTGCCCAAGCGCCGGATATTGACGACTTCACAGTGAGACTGGGTTGTTCACACACGAGCCAAGGGTTTGTTTCCTGTATCAATGTAGAGCTAAACTATGATGTGTTTTCCAACCACATGCTTTTGCTGACGTCACAGTGTTGGTTGTGGTGTCCTGGAATGTCTAAAGCAGATGCAGGAGGATACCCAGCACATAATATGTAGATGTGAAAGTCCACTAACAAAGTGACTTGGGACTTGGGACGAGAACAAGTTGCACACACAGAGGCTGTGACTTCATTCTGTGCTCAGGATGCCATTACTCCACTATAGCAAACAATGGTTTGCTGCTGTATTAATATATTGAATGTCCTATACAGCACCTTTAATGTGAAATCTGAATGTATTTTTCCATATAGAGAGTAACTTGTGTACAGACATTTTTTACAGTGAGTTCTATAAAGACAGCTTTTTTTTTTCTTAATATTATTTTTAATAAATACAGTGATGTGTATAGATAATGAGTGTAAAACCAACTAACAGGAGATACATTCAAGGTTGGTTCAAGGCCCTCAGCAGCATTATTGCACATGCATGCACATTGTTGTTCATGAATTAATGTATTTATTTAGCATAAGATGAATCTCTAAAGAATAAGTGTTGACTGCCAATTCATCTTGTGCAGAAGCGTACAGAATGGCCTCCCATTGTTAGAGATGACATAGAGACTGTGAGTCGTTTCCCTCATTAAACTGTCAGTTGGAAGTATAAGTTAGAAGTGACACTCATTGTGAGAAAGTCTGTGGCATGTTTGGAAGCTATACCCTCCTCTCCTCTGCATACTTGTCACCACCAGATGTGTAACTGTTGAGACGGAGCAGCTCTGCATTGTGTGCATATAGGTTTTAACTTTCCATTCAGTTTTTCCCCTAAAAATGTTTCCTGCTATATCCCTTACTTTCCACCTCCGCTCAAAATAAGAAGGGAGAGGAACACCTATGCACAGATGATAAAATATAGATCATATTGCCATTATTGCATAACTGAGCTGGAGTCGTACAACATGTTACAGCTTGAAAAACATGCCTGACTCATGTGTGATTTATTACAGTCTGAAAGTAACTTCATCAACCCTGGTGTCGGTTTAATCCAAGGAAACTCTGGGGACACATGCAGCTTAGTTTGACAAGGTTACCCTTTGGATTTTTCTTTGCAGTGACCTTGGCCATGCTAGTCCAAGGAGGAGGAAACAAGCTCGCTGCAGCGGACTTTAATAGGAGTCGAGTGGCATGTATGTGATGACAGGATCTGTTGCCAGGTAGACATTAAACACTAACTGGTCTGTGCTGTTAGATGCCT